CGCATAGTTAACATAGAATCTAGCAAGAAAAATGTTGGTGAAATCTAACAGAATTTGATGGTGATTAATCTAACAAAATTTCGCTAGATTCTATGTTTACTATTCATATATTCTTCATCATATAATAATAACAATTTTATTTTCTCATGACTAAAGGTTTTGAATGGGTGATATGGAAAAGTGTGATGCAATGTTGAGTCATACAATACTTTATCACCGCTTTTTAATATTTGTGATGCAGTGTGGAACAATACAATATAATTCGAGCGGTTTCAGTTTACTTTGTAGCATGATGTACGTTTGTCTTATTCCTATAGAAACCATTGAAAACAGAATATCCAAATCTATATTTTTCTAATATTGCGTGTTTAGATAAAACAAGTAATCAGTTTTCTTAAAGGAAGATTCATTGAATTGTTTTTTATAAATAGTATGCCCCAACCATCCAAAGATTATAATCCAGGTCACTTTAAAACCATGACACTCACCGTTACCGCTTCATTCCTCATCGTCTTCCTCTCGCTAATCACCGTTTATGGTGATGTTATCAAACTACCTTCTCAAGCTTCTAAGTTCTTCCGTCCGGCGAAAGATGATTCTTCGGTTGGTACTCGGTGGGCTGTTCTCGTCGCCGGATCCAGTGGATACTGGAATTACAGACATCAGGTTTATCCACCACGCCATTCTCTTTTTCATCATATGCAAATAATCATTTCTTCATAGTTTCTTTTGTCAACTCTAATTATTGTACAATTTGACCATTTAAGCTTATTCCATTAATTTGAGTTTAACAATATGCAATATGCGGGTATAGAGAGTAGCACAAATCATTAGATTACATATTTTAGTTTTTAATCGATGTTGTGAGTCTTTTTCTTTGAACTTGAGTGAAGCTTTTGTGAACTTAAGTAGATGATTGCTTCGATTGTAGTTGTATATTATTTTAAAATAAAAACATGATTGATAAATCACTATAAAAAAAGGTACATTGTATCCCTTAAATTATATCACAAAATAGAATGAAACTATTTTAAATTACTTATCTATAAATGAAGCAAATATATATGGTTTAGTATNAATTGTAATAATTGATGTTGATANTGACTAATTTNGAATCACTTNAANAAAANTGATNCAATTTATATTAGTTTGTATCACTTTAACAAAATTGATACTAAAATATGTTTTTACATCAATTAGATAATCGATATTTTTAATAACATCATTTATAAAAATGATACAAAAAATTACATCAATTACAATTGATGCTAAAAATATATCACAAAACTAAGTGATATTGTTTCAAATTACTTACTAAAGAATGATACAAATATATCTAATTTAGCATCAGTTGGTAATAATTGATGTTTTTATTATGTTGTTTGACATCGTTTTGTTAGAACTGATACAAATCGAATGTATTTTGTATCATCTAAAAAAACTAACTTATAAATATGAATTTGTATCAACTAAATAACTGATGTAATTACTAATTTGTATGGACATCACTTAAAAAGTAAAACAAAACTTGCATTAATTACAAAAAATGATACTAACTATTATTCAAATTTCGTTTTTTATTAATTTTGTACTAAAAATGTGAAATTAACTTTGTCCCACATCGACAACTTAGCAAGGAGAGGAAGAAAAGGTACTATATAAATAGTTAACACTTACTTGTCATTCTAAAGTCCAAAAGTAAGATTAAGTTTAATTGTTCGGTTGATTTATTTAGAATTCGGATCTAGCAGTTAAAATTTGCTGATTTTACGTTCTTAACATCAATTTAGACTAATTGTTTAAATAATATTATTGTTTCAATTATTAATTAAAATTTTCAGGATCTTCCAGTTATTTATAAAAGCTAAAACGAATACTAGAATCACTTATTTATAACTGATG